GGCCAGAAAACGCTCCCCGCGCTCGCTGTTCTCGTGGAGTTCACAGCCTCAGCAAGAGGTTCCAGATGTGTCTGTCCTGTGTTCCTATTCACTTAAAAGCCTACATAGGGGGGTTATAGAAAGCAGTAAGGGATTACCTGAAAAGTGTCACATGCTCACATTTGTATTTCTAATTATGAAACAGTATATACTTGTATATATACATATTGCTACTGCTGTATGTGTTGAGAGAGAGAGAGAGAGAGAGAGAGAGAGAGAGAGAGAGGATACCTATGGAGAAGAACAGAGGTATAAATAAACAGTATAGTGGGAAGAAAACCAGGTAAAAACAGACCACATTTTTAAAATATTTGACATGAAGTGATTTGTATTTAAATCTGTTAAGTAAGAGTTTGTTTATGGTGCGTGTGCACATATACATTAAGTACATACGACTGCTCATTTCTTTTTTCTGCTCATGTATCTCTTGGGAGACTAAAATACAGTACAGTCTTGTTAATTTATATAAGCATTTCAGAAAAGTTACAAAAAACAATTTAAACATTTTATCTCATAAAATCGAAGACATACATTGTTTTACATTTGTTCTTGTATTAATTTTCCATGAAAATATCAAGGATGAAGAGCCTGTCAAATAGCTTAGCAGATTAAAGCACCTGCTTAGGCAGACGCAGGGCCTGGGAGTTTGAACCCCTGGCCTGCAGTGCCGGCCCCATCCCCGGGGCGTGCTGAGCCTGCTGTTGAGACTGGGCGTGGGGGTGCATGCCTATAATACCAGAACTTGGGAGGCTGTAAGCAGGAGGATCACTAGGAGTCTGATCTATGCAGTGAGACCCTGAACACGCTGCATACGCTGTCCTAAATACAAAAAGAAAGAAAGAAAATATCGAAGATGATACCTCAATTAATTATCTGTGTGTGTGTGTGTGTGTGTGTGTGTGTGTGTGTTTCTGTACATCTGTGTACATGTGGCTGTGGGTTATAGAAATACAACGTGGCCAGCCATATTTCCTATGGGACAGCTTATAGTGTGGCAGGGTAATCAAACAGGTTAATTTTATCACTTTATCACAACAAAGTCCTGGTTTCTATTTTGTAGTATTAATTACATACTAAGAACACAGGCAACATTTGTTGCCTATGAAAACATTCTTTTGTAGATAAACCAGAGATGTAAATAAATTATTACATTAGGGCATTCAGATTTCTTAAAGTTTTATTGCTACTAGTTTCAAATTTGATCTTTATCTCAGTATGTAAATTATAAATACTAATAAGCAATAATTTATTTGATGATTTATTTAGCTATTTCTGTAACTTCTAAGACAGTTGAAGCATATGTTCAAATGATCTTATTTCTGTGTTCCTTGAAGTGTTTTCTTGAAATCTTGTGTGTCACACTGGATAGAGTTAATGTGCAGACAAATGCAGTGCCTTGCTTAATGTTCATAGATTGGAAAAATGTGTGCGTGCCAAGGAAGGCTTGGAGGCCGATCTGTATAAGCGGTTTATTCTGGTGCTGAATGAGAAGAAGTCCAAGATCAGAAGCCTCCACAAGCTTCTCAATGAAGTTCAAGAACTGGAAAAGAATATTGAACATGGAAGGTATTGTCTTCTGCTGTTGGACGACAGATGTATATGCTTAAGTAGAATTTCTTTAAAATCAGTTGGAAGTTAGGTGTCAACTTTTAATACCATGAGACCCCTTAACAACTGGGTTTGATATTAGACTCAGAGTCAGGCATGGCAGGAGATGGGGAGCTCTTGAGATCTTCCACATCTGCCGTCTATCTCCCTTATGCGTAACTCACAGAGGTAGTATGGCTATGTAAGTATTACTTAATTAACTTTTAGACATCATTAAGAAAGTAACATGAATTTAAAAATTTCTTTATCTAAGGGCTGGTGAGATAGCTCAGTGGACTCAGTGCCTGCTTAGGCAAGCACAGGGTCTGGGGTTGGACCCCTGACAACACATGCCACGCTGGTCCAGCCCCCAGGCAAGCTGAGCCAGCCATTGAGTCCAGGCGTGGTAGCTCATGCCTGTAATCCCAGCAATGGGGAAGCTGAAAACAGGAGGATCACTATGAGTCTGAGCTGCATAGTGAGACCCTATGCCAAATACATTGAAAAATTCTTCATCTATAATACAGGAGTTTTCTGTGCACATTTGTAATATTGTTGTATAAGTCCTGGTTTACTCTAGAATCAAGTGATAAATATTAACTGTCATGGGGCATTGCTCATGTTATCAGAGAGCTTGGTCCTTTCTCTTCATTCTGACAAATTTTCTGTGAGACTGGGTATGCACTTGATTCACAAGGAAAAGCCGTAAGTGGCAGTGGCTGGTGTCTTCAAACACAGTTTTTTAAAAATTAGCATATATACAGGACTAGGATGTTTCCCTGAACCTGAGAAGTTCGGGTTTCCTAATTGCAAAGTCTAAGAAGCAGGTGTGATGTCCCCTGGTCCTCCTTCAAGTAGTGGACTGGCACTGCTGTATGCTACCGTGTGCCATTGCACAGGCCCTTTGAACACTCTTGCCTCCCTTTCGGGACAGTCGAATGAAGCTTACAACTGGCTTGGGATCATTGATATACCAAGCATTCTGTGACCTGCAGAGACATCTGGGAGATCAGTATTGACACACACATCGTAAATGGTAAGACTGATTTAGGAACTAATTTATAGTGAGCATTACCAACATCTAGATCATTAGACGAGAGAGAGGCTTGTTCTTAGGAGTGTTAATGAGCAGTCTTCAGGGTGGTCCATCTAAATCATACGAACTTCACTACACGTTTATCTAAGTAGGACTTTTTCTATAACAGTTATGGGTAAATCTAACATCTAGCCAGGTGCCAGCCAGTGATCTTCAATTCCTCTTTCTGTTTCCAGGGAAGGTACAGCCAGCTCTGAAACCCTAGCCGCCTGTGACCCCGCCTACGATGTGAGTACGGATGAGGGAAGTGGAAATGAGGCTGAGCCCTCAGTGTCGGCCCCAGGTGAGAGAAACAGGCTTGTTGTCTTGGTACTAGTGACCATGCCTGGGTCACTATTACATCGGCTCAGGGCCAGCCAGATAGCTCAGCGGATTAAAGGTTCAATCCCCAGAGTGCCATGATGGTCCTGCCCCACCCCTGAGGCACACTGAGAGGAGATTGAGACAGGGATCGAGACACACACACACACACACACACACACACACACACCCCAGGGTATGCTGTGGCTCATTAAGCAAGGATATGGAAGCATCAGGGAGATACACCTTCATGCTAAGTGTCACCAGCTCAGAGCTGGTTGCTTTCAACATTTGAGTTCTGTCTAATTAAGACAATAGATAGGGCACTGTTTAGGGTCACCCCAGTGGTTAGATGACCCTCTACTTGAGGTATCCCCTTCCTTCTCCTCTTCAGGAGGATGTTGGCCCTGGGGTCAGTGAGACAGCAGAAGAGAAGCGAAAGTGGCAGTTCTGGGTGGCATGCCTGGGTCACTCCTTGGGCTGTATACCAAGCTGGTGTTTGAATCATGGATTATTTTATAGCTTATAGATTTCTGAGGGGTAGTAGAAGCAGGGTCCCTTAAACTCATTTAATACCTAGAAGGTTTTGACAAAAACCCAATATTATATGTAAAACAATTTCATTCTTTTTTGTGGAAAATAATTGTAAGAGCCTTTTGGGTACCAGGGAATTTTTCTGGGCCATATTGAGCAAAATGCAAAACTGAGTCAGTGTGAAATTTACATTCTAGTGAGGAAGGGAGCAGAGTTACAGATGTGATGTTAGAGCAGTCCAAGAAAAGGCTTGAGTCAGAAGGTGATCTGGGGAGGAGCATACCTGGCAGGACGAGCACACCTCAAAAACTACAAGTCACTTAGACCCTGAGAGCCCCAGGGTTGGAGCCGCAGCAGAAGTTGGTGTGGTTGAAGGCTGGAGAACTGCAACATGGGATCAATCTCTGTGACGAGATTGCACCATGGGAGCATTTGAAACAGCCCAGTGCGAAGTCTGACTCTTCCGTAATCTGGCTACAGAGTTACGATAGGATGTGGGGTGACAAACGCTGCAGGAGGCATTAAAGGCAGGAACGGTGCCAGCAGTGGAGTGAAGATAGATGATGAGCAGCGAGCAGGATCTACTTAGACAGAGGTTTGACAGACGACCGAGCGAGCTGCCAGGGCTGGGGTGGTGCTTCAAATGGGGTGTCCTGGAAGCCCAGGGCAGGAAGGGTTTGACGGAGCAGACAGTGACCAGCTGAGCAGAAGGGATGCTGCTGTGAGGCCAGGGAGCCAGGACTGGAGGACTGCCAGATGTGACAATGTAAGCAGCACTGACGACCTTAATGTATAACAGTGCGGGACAACAGGATGTCAGGGAAGTGAAGGAGAGAAATGGAGGTGACCCTCAACTGCAGGTGACACTTCAGTAGTTTTCACTGCAAAGAAAAAAAGACTTAGGCAGCAGCTGGAAGGAGAAGTAGGAAAAGGAGTGTTGTGGTTTTGTTTTTGTAGGGAAGAAAGAATGTACTTTATGCCCATAAAATGCATAGAGTGCACAGCGAGAGCACGGAGCGCTGGCAGTAGAGGGCAGAAGGGCAGGAAAACATGGGTGGAGAGGATAAGGCCCTCTGCACAGCTAGAGAAGGTGCAGGCATGTCCCCTAATGGCTAAGAGAATGGACAGAGACGTGAGATCACTGATCGTGATCATGGAAACAAAGTGACGCTTACTAAACCAGTTTAGTGATTGTGATTCCAATCAGATTTGACTTAGATCACACGATCACACACATGAACACACATGCTTTTATATGAGGAAATTAAATTTCTCCTCATTTAGGTTATGCTTGTTGTACACTTCGCCCCACTTAAAATGAAACCATTTTATTTATTTATTTTGGAAACCATTTTAAAGATAAATGCATGCAGAAACTCAGAAAGGAGGACAGCCCATGGTCTTTGCAGTTGAGGCTTTCAGAAGGCTTGTTAAGTTCAGCAGCCTTTGATTTTGTTCCTTACTCAAGGTATCTCTCCAGCATGGAAAGCAGAGGAAAATTATTGTTGAAAAGAAAATAATATGTGGTTAAAAGTGGATATCTGAGAAGGAGGTCTTTTATGTGTTCAATCTAATTTAAGCAAAGCTTTAAGCTATAATTCTACTATTTTAAATTTGGCAGAATTTTTCTCATCTCTGAGTTTATTCTGCATGTTTCCTGTATTTTAGTTGTCATTTTTCTTCCTGTATTTTAGTTGTCATTACTTATTCATATCTAGTTTACTATATGTTCAATACATATTCTCTGGTTCTAATTTTTAAAAATACTTTATTTGCTTTTGATGTCAGGAATTAAGAATAGTTTTATTAGAAGTTTTATCTATTTCTTTTCATCAGCATGAGAAAGAAATATTCAGAATGCTGAATATACAAAGATATAGAATAAATTTTAGATCTGAAATGCTTGATACTGAATTGAGTACAAGATCCCATAGATCTGAGGGGAAAATACCACTCCTCTTCTCTCCCTCTCTGTCTCTCTCTTTCAATTTAAAGAGACACAAAAATGACCCAATACAAACAATACAGAATTTCAAAACAGAATGAAAGAATTAACAATGGCTATTGTATTGCATATTGTTATCTTCAAAACAGTTGCTCAGATTACCAGGTACAGGCATGCAGAACTGACCAAACAGTGTAGCACTAACTGTTCCTTTCAGTGAGCTAGCAGGAACTTGTAGTGCAGTTATCTTGGCTCTATTGTGTGTATATAATCTTTCTTTCCCCTTCTGTCTTGTCTCTTTTCTTCCATCCAAGTTGTTGTCTCTTTTTGATCAGTTTCTTTCTCTTTCACTATATTCATTGTACCTTTTGGATCTTATTTACTCTTTCAGTTTCTTACACTAGGGAGACAATATGATGTTTACACATGTGATTCTGATTTATTTGATGACCTTATTTCTTAAACCACGACTATATCCAAATTCTTGGAAGTTTATAGGTTTTTCATTCTGTTTCAGATCAAGTTTATAATAGATAAGATAGCTTTTTTGGTATCAATGGCTCAAGCCTCAGTTGACAATCGTGCTTAGGTCACCCTCAAATTGATATGAATTCCATGTGGCTTTTGAGAATGTTCTGGGAGTCTGCACCCCCTGCCTACAGGGTGTGGCTGTTCAGTGGAAATCTGTTGGATTACTAATGGTATTTGTGAAACCCTTCTACACAAGAAACCGTTTCTTTGCATCCATGCTGGACAAATATCCTAGCTTATCTTGGTGAGTGACGGAAACTCACCCGAGCATATAGAGACACAAGCACTGTTACATATGGCAGGACACCAAAGCATGCAGCACTTTACCCCAGTGGCCTTTGATTTGGCTCAACAACAGCAGGTGAGCCTTAAAAGATAATTTATCTTTATGCTGATCTTTAAAATATTGTGACAGAATCATTTTGATATGCTGGCAACAGTAAAATACTGAAAATAAATTTTAGATCTATATGAACGCTGAAGAATTTTAACTATTAATGTGAAACATTTCTTAGTCTTAACATGATTTAAAAACCATACAAATATTTAGTGGAAAATTAGATTTATTTCCTAGACCCAGATCTTTTCTTGTGAGGCAACTTTTCTTTTCTTTTTCTTTGTGGTACCGGGATTGAACTCAGGGCCTTGCACTTGCCAGGCAAGCACCTATTCTACTGAGCTATCTCCCCAGCCCCAGAGGCAACTTTTCTTGAAGTTATACCTAGCAGCTTCCTTATTAGTGGTATATCACAAGGTGAATTATTTTAATGTCTCATTAATTATTTTGATAAATGATTGATGTTTCTGAATATTTATTTCTTACAATGTAAATGGACAATGTTTCTTATAATTAGAGAATAATTGAATTAGCTTTATTTAAATTACAAATAAGAAGTTTTTCCTAGGGTGAAATTTATTTTCACGGTAAAGGTACCTAGCCATTAAGAAAACATAGACTAAGCTTTCTCTTGCTTTTCTGCATAGTTATTAGCCTGAGATTTAGCACATTAGTTTAATTAATCCTGCTTCTTAACCAACAGGAAGGTCCCTGTAATACTGCTATCAGTCACTGGAGCTTCCACTTAGTTGGTGGCTTCCTGAGCGGAAGTGTGGTTATAGAATAGCCTTTTTGAAAATAAATGAATGGCTGTGTCAAACAGTTAATGAATACTGATACAGTTGCTTTTAAAAATAGAACAGAATCCCAAATTTCGAAGTATCAAAGGGCTTGTTGCTTTGAACAGTGAATGTCTCCCCACAGAGGGGCAGCAGCGTGTACTGCCAAAGAGATTACTCAGACACCCAACTTCAGAATCACAGATGATGCTCTCAGTCTCGTCCAGCGCATTTATCATCGATACACTCACTGGTGTGTTCTAAATAAAAAGCTTGATTCAGTAAAACCTGTGTCCAAAGAGAAAAAGCAATTTAAGTATGTTTATTAGCATGTCATGGCCTTTTATACGTAACATCACTGTGTTTGCAGTGATGTTATGTGCTTCAGAAATCAATACTTTGTGCAGTTCTGGATTCTGTAGGGCAAGTCCACCTGTTGTGGTTTGTGGCTGGTTGTCCACCCCAAGCCTCATGTGGTAATGGGGCAGGGTGGGCTCCTAGAGTTTATGATTCATTCATGATCCAGTGCTGGGATTATGGGTGTGAGTGCTGTATCCGCCCTGGGGTGGACAGCCTGAGTACTGTAAGGGAAGGAGGGAGGCTTGCTCTCCACCCCTGTCTCCCCACTCTCTTACCCTAGGCCTGCTGCTTCTCCTATTTTCCTCTTGCTATTTTTCTCTGTTTTCTGCCACCATGAACTGCTGCCCTCTTCCATGTGCACTCTGCCTTGGAGCCAGCTGAGTATGGACTGAAGCCTCCACAAACTGTGAGCTAAATAAATCTTTCCTTCCTTCATTTTGGGCATTGAGTATTTTGTCCCAGCAAGGAGAGAAAAATAACCAAGACACCACCTTTTTTTCTAGAGGGAACAGAGCCTAGAAAGGTTTAGTATATTACTCTTGGTTATACAGGAGAGAAAAATGAAAAAGTAAAACTTTAAATTGATAGCATTTGAACATACAGTCTTGAGAGATGAGGTGAAAACTTTTGGAAATTTGCTAACACTGAGAGAATTGCCCTTGATATAAGAAAATACTGGGAGCAACTTTTATTGCTCTATACAAGAAAAATCCTATTTGTACGTAGTTGATCCAGAAAGATAGTTTACATCATTAGATTGAATAAATAAAAGACTTTGTGATACTTAGCTTCAGAAAATAATTCTAGACTACACCTGCCTATATTGAGGTCATTTCTCTATATGCTAATTGCTTCCTGTTCCAACATGCTAACCCTCAGTATAGAGATAGTGTCTAGCCAGTCTATCCGTACAGTAGTATGAAAGTATAACTTTGATATGACCTCATAGACAACTAGTTTTACATCTTTATGTGTTCCTAAGGAGATAAAGAAATTCTGCTAAAATGATTTGTCTCGATGTCTCTGCCTATGCATGCGTGTAAAGTGTAGCAGGCATTTTTCCCCAAGAACAACTATGAATGTAACATTGTCAGAAGAAGTAAAGAACTATTTCAAATGTTGTGTCAGTATATATTTGCAATACATAATAAATGTATTCATCATGGGGAATTCACACATATACACATGTTGACAAAAGGCAGATAGCAGCATGACAACTATTCATGCTTTAAAATGGCTGAATTTTAGGTAAGATCTTGGAGTCAAGGACTCCTACTGCTGCTGGCTGCCTGTCCAGACCTTGGTCAGTGTGGAGCTTCTGCCAGTGTCTTGCAGACTACAAGAAAGCTGGTGCTGCTAGGTCTGGGCCAACAGAAGCTCACCACATTTTTGGCAGAGTGCCATGCTGCACTCACGCCTGGAGGTGCTGTCAGTGCAGCAAGGAGCTCGGCAGGAGCTTGTGTCCTAGGGTTGTGCTTCAGGCTGAAGGGGTCCAAAGTATTTGTGTGGCTCTGGCCTACATTGAAGGTACACACATGCAGGTAGAATGGAAACAGAGAACCTGAACTTTGAGTGGATTCCCCTACCCACTTAAAAAAGGAAGGAATTTCATTGGCTCGCTCTAGTCGAGCCCAGACTCTACATTTATTGGATTACCACTTGGGCAGAGAGGCAGCTGACTGGAAACTAGGCTTAAATGATAAAACAGAGAACTTGAGACACCAGTGGCTGTTTTTCATAAACAGCAAAGAGTTAAAACATTTACTCCAGTTAGGTTTCTAAATGAACACATAATTCAAAGACAAAGATAGCAATCTTCAGAAGAAGAAACAACTCAAACCCAAAGCTGATATGATATATTATTTCACTTGTCTAGTTTTCAACAAAAGTAGATACTCAAAGAAACAGGAAAGTATGATCTATACTTAGGGGGGGAAAAGTGGTCAATAGAAACTTTCACATTGTCCCCAGATGTTGAATTTGGTAGACCAAGACTTCAAAGTATAATTATAAATATATTCCATAAACTCAAGAGAAACATGTTTAAGGAATTAAATGAGTATGATAAAAATGTATTAACAAATAGAAATCCCAAATAAGGAGGTAGAAATTACTTTTAAGAAAAGAACAAAGTAGAAATCCAAGAGTAGGAGATATGATATAAAATTAATTAGAGCAGTTCGATAACAGATTCAAGATGTCAAAAGAATAGTGTCAGTTCACTTGAAGGCTGATCAGTAGAGCAAATGATTTCTAAGCAATGGACAAAAACCTAAAAAAATAGAACAGATCCTCAGAGACCTGTGCAACAACATCAAGTATACCAATGCATGTGTAATACAAATTCAGGAATGGCAGGAAAAAGAGTCAGAAAAATACTTGATGACATAATGCCAAATCACATCTACATTTTATTAAAAAAATTAAGCATTCAAAAATCTTAGTAAACTCAAGTAAGAAAAATGCCATCAGGGGCACATACTCGTGTGGCCAAAGAGTTTGGAAAACCATAGCAAGGCCATCTTGAACGCAGGCTTCCTACCCAGCAACTACCACTTAGCAGAGGGGCATCAGTACTGTGGACAGCAGACTCCTTGCCTGGAGTGATGGAGGCCGGTGTGCAGTGGGACTGTATTCACAGAGACAGATGCAAAAGGGAAATGTCAAGTTTTATATCAAGCAGTATCTTTCAAAATGAAGTTGAAATCAAGATGTGTTAAGAATTTATTACTAATCTATCAGAAATGCTAAAGGAAAGCTTTCCGGTAGAAAATAAATGACATAAAATTGTAGCATGTATCTACAGGAAGAAATAAATTATCTGAATACAAAATACTTTGCTTAAAATAAAATTCTTTATAAATATGCATTTTCTTATCCTTTTAATGGTTCTGTTTTAATTTTATTTTATTTATTTTTTTGTGGAACTGGGGATTGAACTCAGGCCCTTGCTCTTGCCAGGCAAGCACTTATTCTACTGAGCTATCTCCCCAGCTCCCTTTTTTATTTTTATTTTTCTTTTAATGGTTTTGATGCCAGACTATACCCTCCAGTAGTTACCAGTGATATTTGGCTTATAAAAATAGATGTGTACATATATAAATGTAACAAGAATAGGATAAAGTAGAGCATGAATTGTACTGGAGCAAAGTGTCTATGTTTATTTAACAAACAATAAGACAACAGTTATCTGAAATAGAATACTAAATAAAATATGAAATTAGTAATTTAAAATATTTTCACAGTGGAAACCCTATACTCAGATGGCTTCATTGATATGTCTTAATTTTAAAGAATAAATTAATATAAATCCCTGATAACTTCAGAAGATAGAGAAGATAACACTTCTTATCTCCTTTCTTGAGGCAAATATTTTATCACAGACAGACCAGACATATCTTGAAATTAAGGCTCTAGTCTACTAACTGTCATTAGCATGCAGGCAGAAAATCTAAGCAAAATATTAGCAAAGCGAGGTCAGCAATACACAGAGAAAATGAGAGATTATAACCAAGTGAAGTTCATTTTTCTAATGTGAAGGAAGTTTTGCATCTGAAAATCGGTTATTTTATCTTAGTACAAAAACCACACGACCAGTTTGAGAGATCCAGGAAAGGCACTTGACAACTCCCAACACACTTTCATAGCAAACTCAGCAAAACCGGACGGCAGGGAGACAGCTGAGCTGATAAGGACGTGACTGTGTCAAAGTTAGAGCTCAAATACGGAATTTTCCCCCTTTGATATCATGCTTATTCAACCTTGTATTAGTTCTACCCAGTCAGCTAAGTGAATAAATAAGAGCCATCTAGATTATAAAAGAAGTAGAACTGTTCATGATATGCTAAGGAATTCATTAAGAAACTGTCACTGGTAATAAGTTAGGCATGGTTATTGGATACCAGAATTTTAAAAAAGAATAAATTATACTAGTATACACTTAAAATAAACAATTCAGAATTAAAATAATTACCTCACAATAACATCAAAACTAGTTTTTAAAGATCTATGAGTAGATTTAAGCAAAGAAATCCAGGGGTTTTATACTGAAAACTGTAAGATGCTATTGAAAGGAAGCAGATGGAAATAGCTGCAAGCAAATCCCTTTTCCTAGTGGGAAGAACTTAACATCATTATGTTAAATGCCCCACAGGTGACCCAGCACAGTCCCTGACAAGTGCCTACTATTGTTTGTCAGAAATTGTCACACTCATTTTAAAATTCATGTTGAAGTCCAAGGGAGCCAAAATAGCCCAGATTTTATTACAACACAACAAAATCAGAGAACTCCTATTGATTTCAAAAGTTATTACAGAGATACAGAAATCAATGCAGTATATGATTCTGGTTTAAAAACAGCTACTATCAATGAAACAGAGTGGAGAGTCTAGAAATAAACTTTTTAAGTTATGGTTGGCTGGTCATCAGCAGAGTTGCCCGGGGGCTTCATGGGCAGAGCACGTTTTCCACGAACAGTACTTGGACATTTGAGCATCCATGTGGAAATGAAAGAAGTAGCTTAAATATGCACTTAACATAAAACACAGAAATTAACGCAAATGGGTCATAGTCCTCAGTGTAGTAGCTAAAACTGAAAGTAACAGAAAGCTAAGTTGTGCTCCCAAGTCTTCATGAAGCTCTTTATGGAAGCGGGTCTGTAGGTCCTAAGATCTGAGCACCTATGTGTGATCTTGGGCATGGGTATAATGGAGCGTAATTAAACGTATAAAGTGATGTACTAGGTTTTAAAAAAATTACACTTTAAAATACCCAGATCATTTATTAATTTGTCCTAGCAAAGTGAAAGATAAACATTTTTATTGGACTTTCAGAGCTGAACTGAAAGAAAGGTGATGTCGAAATCAGCTGAGTATTGTATAAATAGGATGCGTGGACCTCTCATCTCTCTGTCGGTGACAGGAATCTCTCCCACAAACAGCCCATGGGGTCCTGTGCCAGCTCATCAACCTCACTGTTGAGCCGTATTTAGCTCCAGAGGTTCCAGTGATGAGGCTGTGGAGCGTTGCCGTCCCACCAGCGTCACAGGGATCCCTGCTGCAGCACAGCTCTCAGAGCTGGGGTGTGTGCAGGAAGGATGCCAGCAGGCTGGCCACAGGGCTCTGGATGAGAACAGGCTTCCCAAGGGCGGTCAGATGGAGGGTGCAGTGTGAGACCCCCAAGCTGCCCAGGTCGAGCCTTGTGGGAAAGCCAGGGAATGCTGAGCAAGGGAAGTCCTAGTGAAGCCCGGGATTTTCTATGGGGATAGGTAAGGGATTAAGAGATACCATTTGTAGGATGACAAAACAGAACAGAAAAACCTTATGATTCTTCTTGTCATGTTACTTTTTAAGATAATAAGGACATCTTTTTGTAATTTAATAGAATAGTTCGGCTGAACTAGAAACACTTGTCTGTTGATCCCTGCTGTGAAGTAAGCCATCTATTGTTTTCCTTCAGTGACTTTGGTGCCTCATGTCGTTGCTGAGTGGGCTTAAGCAGGACATCAGTCCTGCATTCCTCTGGTCTTCACGACGTGCTCCCTTTCGTCTTGCCTGTGGCTCATTGTACTTATTGATGTCACTTGGCATGACTCCTGGAAATGTGTGGGCTTGTGACGCTGCAGGGTGACACTCAAGGTCCAGACGACTCTGGATACAGTTTTCACTTCCTGTCTTCAGGGGATGCTTGCAAGAGCACCTGCGGACATTGCACCCATAGACACCCGAGTCCCCTCTCTCCTGGGGCATACTGTGCACAGCGGCTATGCTTGGCCTTGTGTGCAGGAGGGTCTCTGTAAGCCCGTCTCTGCTTCCAGAGTCCACCAACTGCAGGAAAAAAAGTAGTAAAAAACTGTTTCTTTAATGAATAACTTAAACTTTTCATTATCCCTTAAACAATCCACCACCTACTTGCGTATTATCTGCACCCTGTTATGCGTTATGAGTTGCCTGGAGAGGTGTTGTGTCCACTGTATGCAGGGCACTCAGCTGCTGAATACTTTGGAATCCATGGATTCCAAACATGAGTTTTCTGGAATGAGTTTGCTGTGGGTACTGAGGGATTACTCTACTTAATGCCATCTTGGAATAAGACTATAATGAGGTGAAAGGAAATCTCTACCACAAGTTAGCAATTGAAATGGAGATATTTTCAGGAATCGTGACAGTAATGTCAATGGATGAAAAATTTGAAATCCACCCAGGATTTTAAAAATTGTGAAGTAATTAATGAGCATTAATTCATAATCAGCATCCAGATTTTTGTAACATTATTTCAAAAGATTATTTCGTTTTTAATTTGTGACAGGTAAATTTAGGTAAACAACTATGCTGTTATGTTGAAAACTGATGTGACTGCAGGGTGCTTGCTGCTAGTAAACTAAAGCTGTCAGGCGCTTCCTGATAGCCTGTTTTCCCTTTCATGTTAAAAGTCACACCCTCTTCTTTTCCAGTAAGATGTGAATAGATCTGATATTCCTGCTAACCTGTTATTTGTCGCACAGTGTTACCTATGCAGGATCAATAATGGTAAAATATTGGCAGTATTATGGGTTTTAACCAAATATACCCAGTTCTTGAGGTTCAACAGAAATGGAAGCCAGATCCGTTTGAGAAGGGGTGAATACATATTAGTACAACTTAATCTCACCAAAGGTGATTCAAATCAACAGAAGCAACTCCAGAATATAAACAGTAGAGTTCACCCTTTTCACCTTTAGTATTAGTATTATTTTATGTATTTGTTTGTTGTAGGGTCTCACTGTGCAGCTCAGACTCGTGGTGATCCTCCTGCTTTCAGCCTCCTCAGTGCTGGGATTACAGGCGTGTGCCACTATTCCCAGACTGGTCAGCTCAGCCTGCCCTGGGGGCGAGGCTGGCAGGGCATATGGTGCACCTTATTTTATTAGAAAGTGCCACTTCCTATTCTTGGATGTATATTGTTCTAAAAAGCATTAGGGGGGACTGGGAATGATGTCACCATCTGAACAGTAACTTTAAAAACATGTATCATGAGAGCTGGCTTTGGTTAGGAGGGGTTGACGTGTGCAGTGGCCCCTGGTTCAGGGCCGGCAGATACTGTGATATTTCGGGTGATCTTGACCACCCCAGGATTGCTGAGGCTTGTAGCAGTGATGGGGTGGTGGAAAATCAGGTCATTTCTAGTAGCATTAATTTGAGAACAAGGATGGATTCTGAGGACGATATTGTCAAGGAGGTAAATTCAATCTAGAGAAATTCATTCCATTGAGACTAAGATTTGCAAGAGACAAAATACTCTTTGCAAAAGATGAATTTTCATAGTCAAATAAATATGGACAACATTGAGTTAATAAAAGTTAAGCTAGTTTCTTTACTTACACATTGTTCAATATTTAATATGGTAATTGATACGCAGTTTTATTTTCATTACATTAGGATTATAGCATCCACCATTTTCTGCATTTCAATATTTGAATTATTAGAAGGTTAATTAATTTCCAACAGAACATGAGAAAAGGAAAATTAAATAAATGCATAACACTATTTGATAAAAGTTACTTTTAAATTTCTCCTATATTAGAATTAATTTAAATGAAATTAATTTGGGTTTTTAATAAACAAGGCCTACTGAAATGGCTCTGTGCATTCATTTTTCCTCTTTATTGATTATCCTGTTTCACAGTGATACTTGGAACATATTCTGCTTAGAATGTGAGTTCATGAAGTTAGGTAATACTACATTTTAAAATAAAAATTTAATAGTATCATTTAGAGGAGTTTTAAAAACATAAAAATAGTATTACTTCCTGACAAACTGTAACTTAATATACCTTTCCATGAGAAAAATCTTAAAGTTTATTTAAAACTTTCCACGTGCATATTGGGAGTATTTTCTTTGCTATCTTACGTGCAGCTTTACAATGTAAAATTAAATCAGACGTTTCTATCGTTAGCCTCAGGATTTACATGCATAATTTCTTGGGTGACTGTGTATATAAAGCATTATATACTTGCTGCAATTTCTACTACTAAGACAATCAGAATCAATGAATTGTTTTTTAAATCGATTTTTAAGTTGACAGCCTGTTTATCCTTTTTTTTAAATTTCCAAAGATACAGAAAATAGACAAAAATGGCATCTGAGAGCTAGATGGAGAGCCTTCCTTAGACATGCTGTCAGCTGGAGTCTACACTCAGAGCCAAGTTCTTACAGCTTGTTTACAAAGATTGTGATGGGCAGCTAGGTCCCTTGATAACTCAAAATAAAAAAAATACATTGATTTGAGATCATATAGTGAAGATACGAGCACTGTTATCATCTTTCTGTTACCTCACCTCATGTTTATTTAGGAACCAAAGATTAGAATCAAATTATGATCTTCAAGAACTAACTTATGTTCTTTCTTAGAAGGAAAAGATGGTATCTCTTGAACCACCAGTTCTGTACAATTTTGAAAAGGAAAAATTTATCCTCTTCTAAGAAGAATTCTGTTTTGTTTTTTTTTTTTTTCTTTTTCATTTTACGTATTTGGTACAGGGTCTCACCATGCAGCACAGACTCCTAGTAATCCTCCTGTTTTCAGCCTCTCCAGCTCTGGGATTACAGGCGTGTGCCACCATGCCTGGACTCATTTGCTGGCTCAAAGTGAAGAATTCCTTTTTTAACATGAGGTGTTCATGCATTGTTCTACCATCTTATTTAAATATCACATACAGTTTAACAACCTATATATTTTAAATGGTACTACATTTTAACCCTAACTTCTTATTTCAGTTTCAGTATCATATCTTACCTGTAAAGGGGAGGACACATAATCTAGTTTAATGGCAAAGATTTAGATTTTGAGTTGAGAGCTCATAGCTATTCTTTATAAGTTATTATTGTGAACAAGGACCTCAACTTCACTTATAGGTGAGGCAGGGATTCTGGAAGCCACAGCTAAGTGAAAAGTATTTGAAATCTGTGGGATGCACAGAGGAGTGTTATTCTTATGAGTGATACTCATTTAAGCTCAAGTGAGAATTTATACCCGTAGGGCTAACAAGATAGCCCAGTGGACTAAGCACCTACATAG